TTTTAATTACACTAGAAAATTTATTTAATTTTATATTAAGCAAAAACCTTCACTTGATTGCATTTTCATTTTGAATTACACATTAATTAAGCATAATATTTGATTGTTTTATATATATAGTTTCTGTTGGGCGGAGACAAACACAGTAAGCATAAAACGCGTTCAGATCTGACGCTCGCTGCACATGCAAGAAGAATCTGCCTTGCAGATGACTCTGCTGCTCCATACGAATGCCATGCACAAACATGTATTATTTATGATACGATTTCAGTTGTTTATAGGTTAGTTTAGCAGTTAGTTTAAGTTGATATTGTAAGCGAACTCAAGACGAAAGCATTGGGCACAAGTTATACTCGAAACATAGGCGCAAATCAAAAGAGTCAGAAAGCGAGATGGAGATGGAAACATGCAACAGGTGAGAGGTGAGAGGTGGAAGGGCGAGGGTGACTCGGTTTGTAACTTACCTAAGACTCTCAGTTCGACACGATAGCCATTGAAGTTATCACACGTTTCTTCTGGTATAAAAAATGTTGTATCACATAGATATATATCCTCATCAGATATTCTCAAGTCCTTAATAACTAATCTGTATGGGTTTTGCTCAACAGTAACTCTGCAGTAGGCAAACAGATGTAGATGTAGATATAGATATATTTAGAGATATGTGTATTCTTTTGTTTGACTTACCTATTTTTAAATTCATCATTCACACTCGTCACATTGCTGTCGCCCAGCAGCATCGCCGCGATGCGATCGTCGCCTTTGAACCAGTTCAGGGAGTGCAGCTTCCCGCATTTCTGCTCGTTCACCGGACAGGGCAGCACCACATTCTTGTTCTCATGCTCGCTGATGGTGCGATCTGCAAGAGGTGAGCAGAGAAAGTCAAATATTATTATTATGATTATTACACACACACAAAGCGAGGCTGCAAAAGTGCAAAGTGCACAAAGTGAGCTCCAGAGCCCCATACAATCGCTGGGCCATTCAAATGGAGCGCAGCCATATGAATAAAGTCCCCATTCAACCTTTGGCACGGCGCGTGTTGTGTGTTTAGTATCATAAATTCAAAAGAAACGACACTTTTTTTTATTCCGTTGCTTGTATTCCGTTGCTTTCAAGCTGGAAACACCTTCAAGACACATACACCCACACACACACATGCATAAAGAAAGCTCTTTTTCTTTTTTTCTGCATGGGTCTCCATGGCGAAATTGAGTTGCTGTTGAAATGAACAAAAATGATTCAATTTGCATGGCAACCAGTTTGCTAGACAGTGGCTCACACAGAGCCAGAGCGCCAAAGAGCAATGCAAATTTTC